ATTTTTTTTTTTTTTTTTTTTTTTTTTTTTTTTTTTTCTGCAGTTGTTATCCATTTGTGAGTGAAGATCCATTTTCAATATCTGGAGAAAGTCATTATAAAGTTTATTTTGCAGGACTGCAGCAGCAGCACGAGCATCGTTACCTTTATCCTGCTGCTGCTCCTGCTGCTCCTGCTGCTGCTCCTGCTGCAGCAGGAGAAACAACAGCAGCAACAGCAGCAGCAGCAACAGGAGATAGAAGACCTGCTGCTGTTGCTATTTGTATTCCTGATTATACACAAAAAGGAGAATTAATTTTATTGTCATTAACAACATTAAAAAGTAAATCTTTACGTCTTTTTACTGCTTAATTAAATTAATAAATAAATAAATAAATATATTTATTTATTTATTTATCTATTTATTTATTTATTTATTCAATTTATTTATTTAATTCTTTATTTATTTATCTTTATTTTTAACTATTTAATTATTATATTTATTAATATTTATATTTAATTATTAATTAATTAATAAACAAAAACATAAAAATAATTCCTTGTTGCTGCATGCAAATGCATGCATTTAGTTTCTTTTAGGCACTTCGTCTCTATTTAGATAGGCAACAGCAGCAGCAGCAGCAGCAACAGCAGCAGCACGACAGCAGCAACACCAATAAACAAAATAAATAAATAAATAAATAAATAAAATAAAATAAAATGTTTATTTAGTTTATTGATATAAAAAGACTAAATAATTAAATTCGCAAATAATTGTTTTGCTAATCCTCCGTCTTCCTTTCCTCCTCATTGCTGTTGCTGTTGCTGCTGCTGCTGTTGCTGCTGCTGCTGCTGTTGCTGCTGCTGTCATTGTTGCTTTTATCATCATTATTGCCGTTGCTGTTGCTGTTATCATTATTGCTGCCGTTGTTATTGCTGTTATCATTCTTGCTGCTGCTGCTGTTGTTGTTATTGCTGTTGCTGCTGCTGCTGTTGCTGCTGCTGCTGCTGCTGCTGCTGCTGCTATTTTCTTCATTTTCTGGATGACAGCATCGATGTAAATTGAATCGATATAATTTACCATAATCCTTCACCAAAGATACACCAAAAAAATACTGCAAAAAAAGAAGAAAAAAAAAAATTAAATAAATAAATAAATAAATAAATAAAATAAATATATATATTAATTAATTAATTAAACAAATACATAAACTAATTAAATTAATAAATAAATTAATAAATAAAAAATATTTAAACAATTCAACATGCATGGAAAGCCCCAAATATGTGCATGCATGCATGCAACGAAAAAAAGCGAAAGAAGACTAAAAAACATTTAATTAATTATTAATATAATTAATTAAATAAATAAGTATAAATAAATAAATAAATAGACTTACTGGATTAACCTCAATAATAAAGGTATAAAAAGAATAATTAATATTAACTTTATAATTATGTCCAATAAGATTAGTTAATAAAAATAATATTTCTTCTTTTTTTATTGTTTTGTATCCTCTGCTTGTATATGCACAAGACCAAGTATTTATATTATCCTTTTCTTTTTCTTTTTCCTCTCTTTTATTTATTTTATCTTCTTTTTCTTCTTCTTTTTCTTCTTCTTTTGCTGTTTCCTTCTCTTCTTCTTTTATTGTATTTGTTTTATCTGTTTATATACACCGCAAGACAACAGACACAATATATATATATATATATATATATATATA